CCATCAGCTTTCTCTATGCAGCCCTTGTCCAATTTATTGCACTTGTGGAACTGATTAGTCCAGAGAGGAACAATCATCTTGGAAAGGGTTATTTGAAACTCCAGCAATAATCGCTTTATTCTGAATTCCTCTATGACTCCACGAGGGCAATTGCAGGTCTTCTTAGCACAGGGGAAGAGCCCTGCATGTACTAAAATTGTCAACACGGAGCATTTTCTGAGTAATATGGTTCAGGGTTCGGGTCTGCGGTAGAGCAGAGGTCAATCATTTTACTGGAAAGAAACACAGCTGGGGGTTATGGGTCATAAATGTGTATGGAGCTTTAAAAACATGATCCTGCACTGGTGATGCTTTTGCTGAGAACCAGCCTAGCATCTAGGCTTGGGGCTGTCCGTGATGCTCATGACTGCACGTGCACCATCACTTTGGGGTTGCAGTCCCCAAAGGCCTCACAAAACTTTTCTGCCAGTGCAGAGAGTCCTGGTGTTGAAAACACTGAGATGGGCAAAACAAATAAAGACGAACAAGAACAGGCTCCACCAGAGATATATTTCATGCACCATGGCCTGCCTTGTACAGAGCATCTCTCAGACAGCAGTAACTCTGTGGACCGCAAAAACACAACCTATAGCCACATAGGATTCTCCAAAGCATGAACTATGTCTAAGGAGAGGTGAGTGAAGGGCAATTTGCCCAACTCCTGTCCCCATCTGCTAGGTCATGAATCCCCACACTACATTTGAGAAACAGCTGAAATTCCCAAATTAGCATGCTATGATGGATTAGCCAAAACCAGGCTGGCTCTTCAGCCTTTTAGACGTGTTGTAACCTCCAGTCTCTGCTCAGGTTTTCCTTCTTCATGATGTTGCTCTATGTTTGCTGTCAACATACCCTATGCTGTTAGCCCTCTGCCACCAAGGCCGCTGCAAAATTAGGTATATTCCAGCATCGAGGATGTGATGTGAGAAACAAGGTTGTGCTAAAGCTAAAAATTACCACTTGCCTCCATCGTCCAAAAGGAAAGAGAGGCAAGAGAGACTTGGTGGGTACTGGCAGATAGGGGGTTGTTCCATATATCAAAATTCAGCAAAAAAGCAAAATATAAAAGAAAAAAAAAAGAAGAAGGAAAAAGAGAGGAAAAATACCCATGAGTGACTACGGTGATAAAAATCAGCCCAGGTTCATTTGAAACTTGGCCCACATTGTGTCATGCCTGCTCAGAAATTCAGCCTGGGTTTGCTCCAGACCCAGTCCAGGTTTGTTCCAGTTCTGCCCCAGACTTGACCAGATTAATGTGGAACGGTACAAATTGGCCCTGGCTAGAGCAGGTTTTGGCCCAGGTTCACTTGAAAGCAACTCTGATCTCCAAGGAGCTGAAGGGGTTTTTTTGGGGAGAGAGAGCTTAGAGTGGAGGCATCAGGTTCACCGGCTGCTGGCCAAAATCTTGAGTCCCATCCAGGGTTATTTCCATCCAAGTCATCCCAGAAAAGCTTCATGTATTTGCAGAGCGGGTTGGTTTCAATCCCCGTGTGGCAGAATGATGACATACCATAGTTAACAAGAAGTTAATTATTTTCACAAAGCCTCCCATGCTTTCCATTGGCACCGGTGGAGGCTCCGCCGTTCCGCTCTTTGAATTGTCATACCTCCTTGATTAATTCTGTCACAAGAGCCAGCGCCGCTCCGAGTGGGGGAAGCTAAACCGGCTGGATTTCATCAACACTTTCGCAGGCACAGAAATCTTTCATTGGGACTCAAAGGGAAATTAATTTGTTACATAAATCTTAGGAGAAGCACAGTGCTTGGGAGGCTTCTTGATTTCGTTTGATGAAACGGAGCTAGACAGAGTCACAGGTTGGCCTCATGGGACAAAGATCTGTTGTGGAGAGCTGTAAGCTGTTTTAATTGCATTAGAACACCTGCCTTGAAAAAGACCTGAGAGCTGCAGGATCAAACACTTAAAATTTTAGGAAATATGGATGTTCTGCAGTAATGCTGGCCAAACAGGGATTTTTTTTGTTTTGTCTTGCTTGCCAATTTTTTTTAAAAAAATAGGTTGAAATGAAAACAGATTATTTATTTGACAGGGGGAAGGAATTGAAATCAACCCCTTGAAATGAAATAGATTAATGAGATTAAAAATAAATGTCCTAAACACTTCATTTGGGATCAGCTTGGTACAAAAGTGAGCATATGGGCAAGTTATTGCATCGTCTCAAATTGATGCCTTGATGCAGTTTTGAAAATGAAACACTCTTTTCTCCCATCGTTTTCTCTTTGAGATGACTGAAAAGCCTTCAAGGTTTTTTTTATTTATTTATCCAAGATGATTTCCATGCCCTGTCTTTCATCCACTCATGTATACCCATGAAGACTGCAATTTCCAACCAATTTGCTATATTTGCATCACAAAGACATTTGCTTTTAATCGCCTTCATTTATCTTCTGTGGAGTGTGCATTGCAGCTTGTGGCTGCATGATCCTGTGGTCCAGTTCTGGGGGATCATCACCCACTCCTTGCATAGGATGGATAGAGCTTGCTAGAAATGAAGCTGTCAGAGGTCTGATTTCTTCACCTTCTTTGCTTTGTGCCCCATGTTTTTTGTCACCAGCCAAGCCCTACTCTGAAGACTGAATGGTTTGTTTCTCCTGGCTTCTCTATTGGACTTTTTGTGTTGATACCTGGGTACTTTCTAAAGCTCATCATAACACCCAGGAGTGGAGATGCTACCTCTACAGTGTCCTACAAAGGTGATACTGATACAATAAGCTTCTATCATGTACTTCTTTCCTCCTGCAATGCATCTAGATATAGATGAGAGATATATATCTCAAATACATCTCAGTTAGCAATTCTTTCTCCCAAATGACCTCTCTATCAGGTACTAAAGGCATGGAGAAAAGAAAGCATCCTCCACACAGAACAGGACCTGACAGACTAGCACTGAGACGTGCCTAGAGGATCACTAGCCATCTACAAGCAAGGTCCATGCCAATGCAACAGCTTAGCTTCAAATTCCCCCTTTGTCATTCAGGTCTGGAATAAAGCCAGAACCTTTCATTACATAGGTAAGAGGAGCTTTGTATGTAAAGTTAGTATATTTTGTATTTTTTATTGAACCTAATGCTATACCTGGTAAAAGAAAGAGAATTTGCTGATACAGAAACTCCTTTTTCAGATCTGGCAGCAAATGTCACAGATAAATTCAAGCTGACAGCTCAGCTTAATGAACTGTGCACTGACACCATCTGACAGAAAAGACAGTACTTGCAGAGTATCTTGATGGGGAGAGATAGCTCGTTATTATCAATGGGAAAGGAAGGCACAAGGAATTTACAGTGCCTGGAGGGGGGACAAAAAAGAAACTTTGGAAGAGATCAGAAGAGATTATGTCAGCTTGCAAAGCTTCATGTCCAGATTCTTCATGAGAAGTTATTTTACAATGTGTTCTTCTATGAGCAAGTCCCCTTGCTGGTGGCAGGTTGTTTCTGTTCCCTCGATGGAGTTCAGCCTGTTGCCTTATTCATCACCCTACTTGCCACCACGCATGCTCCGAAGCCATGCTGCCTTCACGTGGCCTTAGGACCATGGCTTTGTGCCATGCACATGGGCTTAGACCTTGGGAGTTTGGCTCTATGAGCTTCACAGCACATTTCACCACATTGGCCAAAGCAGGAAGATTCAGGCAGTTCCAGTCCTCATTGACATCTGTGAGAGCTGGAAACATTTAGGGAGGTGTCTTCCCTGCAGCAGGCCATGAGAAGGGCATCAGAAAGCTTAGGTCACTACTGGAATGAAATTCAGCCTCTGGAGGGGGGTTTCCTTCCAGGACTGGATTGCAATGGCGATAAATATTTTTGCAGCCACAACATGGTGAATGACTCCAAAAAAAATGGGAGACACCATGTAATCACCAAAGCAGATGCAAACAAGCAAATAATCATCTTTCTTAGAGAACAAAAGGTCAGAGGGAGGCAGGGCCATGAGGTCTTGGCCTGGAAAAAACAGAGCTTTCATCATGAAAGAGTAAGGGCAGCGCACCAAGGACGTCACACAAGGAGAAAACAAGCCCTTCTGACACAAAAAGCAATCTTCTCTCTCACATGGAAACAATAGCTCAGCACCGTGTGAAGGCATCTGTTTTAGTTCGTGGGAACAGGATTTTTTCGTGGGTTCAACACTGGAATGCTCCAGGGCTCATCGGATTTGAGTGTTTCTTCATTTGAGATAGGGCTCTGCAACACGCGCACAGCTACAACATACGGCACACCTGCAAGGAAATCTTGAATCCGCTGTCACACTTCAAATCTCCTCCCCAGCTTGTCCAAGCCCTGGGAACCCTACCTGCTACCAGATATTTCCCCATTTCCTACAAGTCTTGGAAATAATGAAATGAAATCAAAAATCCAGCAAAATGCTACACCTTGCAGTGATTTCCCCCACCCCCTTTCTTATTGAGTCTAATAATAACATTTCCTGGCAGTTGTATGAACCGTTTGGAACAGAAGACACCTCGTAACCAGAAAGCTGAGGACAGCTTGATTATCTGTTTGCTATTAAAGTTTAATATTTTGGTTTACAAGGAAGGGTGGGGATAGGAATGCTGTATTTATCGGCCTGCTGATGGCCCTGGCCTGTGTTCTTGCCTCCCACATGTTCCATGCTTCAGTGGACGGTGAAATGGCTCTCTCATGTACATCTTCCCTTCTGCATTACCTCCATCAGGGTAAGGTTTCCCACCCGCTACCATGACCAGCTATTTACATCAGCCATAGGCTGCTCATGGCACATGTGGTGTCCGTATGGGATCAACTGGAGATGGTGGTGCGTCCCCCAGTCCATTCACCAGGAGGATAAGGCTGGGCTGAGCAGGGAGTCGGCCCTTTCCTTCCTTCCCACCGCTCAAGCGCAGCAAGCAGCACTTGCTCTTGGAGATGCACACAACTTGGAGAAGCCTAGGATCTGAGCTCGTGAGTATCATAGAATCACGGAATGCTTAAGGTCAGAAGGGACCTCTAGAGATCATCCAGTCCAACCCCCTGTACACGCAGGGTCACCTAGAGCACGTGGCACAGGACTGCGTCCAAGCGGGTTTGGAAGATTGAAAAGAGGCCAGCACCCTCCTCCTCACTGCCTCCCTTGAGGTATTTATATACACTGATTAGATCCCCTCTCTCCCCTTCTCTCCCCCAGCTGAACAGGCCCAGCTCCCTCAGCCTCTCCTCATAGGGCAGATGTTCCAGGCCCCTGATCATCCTTGTAGCCCTGCGCTGGACTCTCTCCAGCAGCTCCACATCCCTCTTGTCCTGTGGAGCCCAGAGTAAAACTGTCCAGAGCTTTAGCCTTGAGTCCCTCATTGTTAGAAGGTAGCAGAAAGGTCCTCTTTATGGAGGTGTTCAATGAGGCAGAGGAGTGTAGGAGAGAGAGGAAATAAACGCTGTGATGTTGGGTAATCTAAGGGTCCCTCCTGCATGCACACAGAGCACAATCTGTGCACTCTGGAAGCTGCTGCACAAAGACGGTCCATGCAGGGTTTCCGTTCTGCTGTGGCACCCTCACCTCTCCTGGCTCTGGATTCATCCCACCTGCTGGACTCCACCAGAGGGTCCAGGGTCAAAGCAGCACTTAGGAGAGCAGGGCCGTAGGCTCAAAACAACGTTCAATAGTGCTTTTAGAGGGAAACCACCTCCAAAGTTGTGTCAACTCAAAGAATGCTAAAACATCCTTCATTCCAGGAAATGAACCTCCCTAGATCTTGTTCTGTTTGTGAGTTAAAGGAGAAATACCTCTTTCTGGATCCAGACAAGACCTTGAAAGCCCCTTTCCAGGCCTGTTGCACCCCTTCTCTCCCAAAATGCGTGTCCAAAGGACCTCTGGAGACCATGCACAGACAAGAACAGTGTCTAGCTGGATGTAGCTGTGCAACAGCTTGTATTTGTAAAGCAAACGCTAACCACATGGTTGAAGGAGCACATAATGAATCAATACACGTATTAAAGTAGCCCATTGGGACAGATGAATTCAACCCTAGCTAGAGAAATGAAGACTTAGAAGTTAAGCCTACATTTGGATCACAATCCTGGTGCTGGAGACCATCTCCCTGTTCCCAGCAACACTCATTTGCTCCAGGCCTCTTCCCCTCCGAGCTGGGATTCCCGAGCAGTCAAAGGGGTGGTAGATGCTCCCTGCTCGTGGCATTCACTGCAACCTTGTTGCCAGATCCACTTTTGCTCATCCCAGCTTTAAACATATCGATTGTACTCTGCTTTGTTTTCTTCTGGAAGGAGGTGGAGAAGAGAGAAGAGGGAATGCATTAACACACCCACTGTGAATTGCTGAAATATTAACTCAGAAACATTACAAGTTAGGGAGCCAGAAGAAAGAGAGAGAGAGGAGACTGCATGATTACAACTCACAAGATGCCTTGGCCCCTCTGGATAGTGGAGTAATTGCATCACATCCCATGAATTCCTTCTTGCTGATTATTTATTTGCAAACACATTTGCTGGCCAAGATAAAGCTGGGTGACAAATGGAATCAATACCCTGACCCCAAATGACTCAGAAATATGTGGGTAAAAATACAACTATGTTTAAAAACAACAGCGTTTATTTTGGGAGAGCGGCTGCCCTGTTGAACAGCACTGAGGGTTTCACAATGCAGACGAGCAGAGCAATCATATGTTAATAATAATCATTAACTCTGTGAAGCTTTGTTCAATCCACAGAATGGCCTGGAGGAAGCCATGGATCATGTGAGGGAATGAGAAACTGAGGCACGGAGTGGGAAGCAGTTTGCCCAAGACCACACAGTCTGGAGACACTCACTTCTGTGTCCTTCGGGGCAAGTGGTTGACTCCACCGAATTCAACCAGTAGTGATCGCTTAAGAAAAAAAAATCCAAATTTTAATTAAAAGCAGGCACTCATTTCCTGTTGATATTTTTATTAGCTGTGTCATTCTAGCCACAATGATGAAGAAATACAGGGCATAAAAGTTTCATACAAAGAGGTGCCTGCTTTTATTAGCTAAAAATCAGGTATGGTTTCCTGTCCATAGGCCTTTCTCTCCAACTCAGTGAAAAATACTATGAAAAATACCCTCTTTGATCAAAAACTTTTTCTTTTCTTTTCTAGCAAAAATTAACAAATGAAGTCTCATTGGTGTAGCTGGAAACCAAAAGGGTTTTAGCCAAAAAGCTAAGGGAAAAAAAAAAAAGTCAGGGAGAGAGAAACTGGGAGAGACTGGGGAGGGAGGAGAGAGGGAGGGTCTAACCAACAAGTTGAAATTTTCCATTGAACGTTTTGCCAAGGAGGAATGTTTCATTTCTGTTTAAAAGCTTTCCAAGCAGGTCTGCTCTTAATATATACGGCTTGTACTGCACCCCACAGAACTAATTGTCATGCCAGCTCTCTTCTTCTCTCAGCAGCTGCTCGCAATGGCCCAGCTGCATTGGGAACCCGTGAGATCCATCTTTTCAGAAGTCCATCTTGCAGCATGCCTTCTGCTCATATCTGGACTCACCTTGATATTTAGAGAGGGACCCTTCTGGACTTCTAGGACCCTTCTTGTCCTCTTCTGGGACTTCTGTCCAAGTGGGTTTCCAAGTAGCCTGGTCTAAATCACCTTGAAAGACTATAAACTTGACTAAATTTGACTATAAAGAAAAGTTGGAACACCTATACCTAACTGCACTGGTGTTAGGAATATGATGTTGTTAGAGAAGGAAGAGGTTGAGAAGGCTGGGACATCATCGTTAGACAAATTAATCATCAGGTGAACTCTGCTAAGGCAATGGCACCTACTCACCTGCTCTACCTAGGTTTTCACAGGTTACATCAGCTCTTCGGTTGCAACCATCAACCGGCGTGAAATAGAACTTCCTCCTCCTTGTCCTGTGTCCTTGTCATTGCTCTCTACCACCCATCTGACAGAGCATTCAGTTCTCAACATCTCCTCTGTAGATGTCCTGTGGATGCTATCTCCATAGCAAGTGGAGAGAAGCAGCAGCTTCATGGATATGATTCATCTGTCCTACTTGAGCAGCCTGAGTAAAAATGAAACCTCAAGACCATTAAATACATTGACTAAATTTCAGGAACTGGATGACAGGGCGGCCAGCTCGGGAAGAGATGTCTGTCTTGTCAACATTCAACTCCAGTGTAGAAAAATCCCACCCATTCTGTTTGAGTTGCAGAGTCAAACGCACAGAAGGAAAGCATATAGGCTGCAGGATTCTGTCAGCTGACACCCTCTCTCAAGTCTGCAAACTGCAGGACCCCCTTTCATCGCTTCTCCTCTCTGCAAGGCATGGAGCACCAAGAAGGGAGTACAGCTTGCCTCCAAGTTGTTGTTGCTGCTGCTGCGGCTGTTGTTTGTGTGTGTGTGTGTGTGTGTGTTAGAACCAGGGTACTTCACATCCGATGCAGATGACTTTTCAGAAATGAAAATGTGCTGCGGTTGGGGGATTCCTCTCCCCCTTGCAGGCAGTGTCTATTATCAGATTCAAAATCTCCTTTGTTGTTGGTTGTGGATGCAAGCAGGAGCAGAGATCAAATATAAAGGTTCCAGAACTGTGTTTTCCCTCCTCCACCCACTTCTCTGTGCTTGGCAAAGGCAATTGGCAAAGAAGTCACTCAAAACTGATGGTATCAGGATTATCCCATGCCTTAAAAGAATGGGCCAGGGATGACACAATGGCACAACCATGCCCCAGTGGTGCAGCCACTCTCATGGACATTCCAGCTATGGCATATATGGTCTTGCACCTGCTTGTTTGCAATTACCAGATCCTACCAGCAAGCATCAACCAAGCAATATTAAAATCAGTGCAATTATAGACAATGATCAGCCATTCCTGATGAGCTCCTGTAGGATGTTTCAGGCAGCCTCATAAAGACTAGGCATAGTACCTCTTTTCCCATGTATTTATATTCCCCTGGATTTAGCTAGCACTAGGGGAATAGTCTCACCTGAAGGATTTGTCTGGTTCCCTTTTCTGCCATGTGGTTTCGGGCAAGTTTTTGATCGCTCGCCTTTTGATTACAGGTGCCTAAAAAGACAGACATGTTGGAGTCTTCAGGCATATAGCTGTCTTCATTCCTACCTACAGCATACTTCTACTTTTCCTTAGCCCATTTTAGTAATGTAAGCAATCTACACAATAAAGCTGAAACTCTTGTAGTCTAGGGGAGACTTTGAGAGCGTAGATGCTTCCAGCTTACCCCATCTACGCTCTCTTTTTGGTGAGTAGGCAGAAGCAGCACTACTCATCTACAACTCACCTCGTCCTAAAGGACAAGTCTAAAAAGGGCGAAGAGAGGGGAACACCAAAGTTAAAGACGGTTGGGAAGGGTCTCATCCTAAGCAGGTTTATAAGCTGGTAATGTAGGCTAAAGATACACCCAGGTCAGCAATTCCATGAACTCCAGACTGCTGGGAGTAGGATGAAACTCTGTCTTGATGCTGGTCTTCCCATGGAATCTGCTCCTGACCGTGGTCAGAGAGAATCCTGGCCAAATGGACATATGTTGTGACTCAGTGCAAACCCAGTCCTTCCAAAACAGGGAGAAACTTCTCCCCTTTACGCTAACTGTAGAATGAACCTCTGAGAGTGGACATCCAACTTTTAGCTGGGAGAACCGTAAAGGACTCAGTTACTGCAGACACTTGGGTGTCACAGATACACATTTTTTTTTTAATGTTGCTATTGTGGGAGATATAATTTTGAGCAGAATATGAGGGAAAAAAAAAAAAGAATCATCCCTAGATCTGCAGCCAAAACCGTGGGTGTCACAGATACACATTTTTTTTTAACATTGCTATTGTGGAAGATATATTTTTGAGCAGAATATGAGAAAAAAAAAAAAGAATCCTCCCTAGATCTGCAGCCAAAACCAGGACCTGGACTTTAATCTATCACTCAATACCAGCCGGGAGAGACAGGGAGGGAACAAGACCTATTCAGAAAGCTTGAGGGGCTTTTAAAAGACCATAACTCCCCCCTCATCGGGGTCAAACTTTCAGGAGGATGCACATTTGGCACTTCTCGTTGTTCACCACAGCACCACACGTTTTCCACAGATGTTTGCACCGAAGGCCTTCGCTTGTCTAACACAGTCAGGGAAACCTCCCCATGACAGATTAATTGACTCGGTGATTGATAGAAGAAAACACGGTCCAAGTACAAAGAAGGCTTGGTCGGTTTGTTTGAATCAGCCTGATGGATTGTTTATTCCAAGCTCAAAAGTGGCACAATCTGCCCCAGTCTGCTTGCTCTCAAAGCCTGGCGTTGATATAATCTTTGCAACCACCTGTATCAAATCACCAGGCCAAAATAACCTGGAGGCCGGTCCAAGCCCCCTTCTCACAGAAAGGCACACCAAACCCTTTCAGATTTTGCCAAACTATAATGCTATATCATTTTCCATAGCTGTAGTCATAATTCAGGATCTGAGCAGGGTCCCTGAGATTTGACATGCCTGAAGCTATAGGGTCTCTAAACATTTCACTGGAGGAAGGGACTACAAAATCGTGGGACCTCCTGTCCCATGAACCTCTGTCACTCAGCAAGGACAGAAGTTGGTCTGTGCTTGGACAGAGATGCTAAGTGTGGTCCCCAGCACAGCAGAGAGAGAGGAGGTGGAAGGAGGGTGGTCATCACGGATTTGCATCACACTTCTCACCAGCTGATGTGGGGAGAGTTGGACCTTCCAGCCAGACCTCCAACACCTAATGTTCCTGTCGTGCTATAGATACGAGATAACTCATTTATGCAAACTCCTTTTAATCCAATAAGTTCCCTGATGTCACCTCTGGAAGTCATCGTTATGCAGAGGGATGCGCACTACAGTGGCCCCTTTTTCCCTCACTACCCAAAGAGCAGAGGAGCAACGAATTTTATGATGCTAGCCCAAGTTTAATGGGAAATAAATCATTTCACAGATTTGCAGGACTGAGCCTTTTCCATGCAGCAAGGAATTAAATCATGTGTTACTGCAAATAGCTTTTTACACTGTGCCAGGAGCGACCTCTAATTTTTTTTTTGTGTGTTGCATATTGTAGGGTTTTCTTCCTCTCCCCAGGAATAGGTCACTAAATTTGACCCAAATCACCACCAGAGTGCATTTTTGGGGTGAGAAAATGATTCCACTAGCAAACTGATATGCAAATCCCAAGTAACCTCAGCCACCCTCATCCGTAATTACCACATCTGCCTGCAAAGATTTTAAGAACTTGAGCTGCTATAAAAAAGGAAATTATCTTTCTGGCCACTGGTCTCCTTTGTCAAGGCAGGAGAAACACTACTCGTTTCCATTCAACAGCTCTTTTGCATCTGAGCAAACTGTCCTTCTTAGTGACACCTGGCTACTTATTTTTTCTGAGCTAATTGCATGCTCTGAAAAAAAAAAAGAAAAGATGACATTAAAAACAGAAATGTGATCTCAAAGTGGTGTGATAGTGTCACTACATGCCATCGGCCACTGTTATGCAGTCACTTTTCCTCATTTTGGCCAACAATATTAAAGGCATCTAAATTTCTCCCTTTCCTCTCGTTTTTTATGCTAGGTAATATCCAATGTCAATGTCCCCCTTTTCTAATAGTGGCTTTTGACACCCAAATTGCTGTGACATTTCATTTATCTGTTTTTATCCCTGGGCTTCAAAGTCAATAGGATGCAGATATGCTGCCTGGAGGAAGAAGGAAAGACATGAGAAACCCTCCATACAACATTTCCTATTGCTGACTCTGAAATGCAGGGTCTCTGGTAACAGGTATGTTTTTTCCAGCAGCTCCTTAGTTGTTTCTACCATTCTTAAATGTTTATTATTAAAAGAAACATTTTCACCAAAAAAAAAATCCTTTTAATGGAAATTCTGGGCTTAAAAAAAAAAAAAGTCAAAATGCCAGTTATTGTTCTATTGGACAGACATGTGTCCTGTCTTTTGCCAGCATAAGATAAGGAAAACATTTTTCTCCAAACACATTTGGAGGATGGGGAGTCATGGAGTTAAATTCTCGCCTAAAATTCTCGAGCAAAGTTTCATAAAGAAGCCCAAACCATCACATGAAAAAACGTTAAATTATATGGGAAAAAAAGAAAAAGGCAAATAGGCATTTATTTCAAAATGCTTCTGGAAATGAGCTTATCTTTCTTAGAGTAGATTTTTGCTAATTAGCATTGAGTGGCTAATATTCCTGTCATCACTACAATGGTTTAAGGGAAAATGTCTGTGTCAAATTATGAATTTAATTTTGCTTTGCAAACATTGTTCATGACTGCAGTTTTTCTTGTGGAGCAGAAGCCTCCATTTTGTTGCAAAGAGGGAAAAAAAACACCCAGATTTATTAAATAGATGACACTGAAGCATTTGAGACTTTCAGTAGCTTTACTGAACCCAAGCAGTGGAGGGAAAAGAAACAGAGAGAGAAGAATAAATTAAATAAAGTAATGGAGCATTGAATACTGCAACAGGTATCTTGTTTTTGTTTGTTTGCTTGTTTGTTTGTTTGTTTTAAAGAAAAAACTTTGATAAGATCTTAAATGACAAGTATTAAACAGACAGGTATTAAGCAAACTAGACTCCATAAGAAAAGATGGAGACAAAGACCTGGAGAAGGATTTTTGGAAAACTCAGAATCAGTCTTAGAAAATGCAATTAGAAATTAGAAGTCAAAAAGTCTTTACCCATCTCTCCACATTTGTGGAAAATGGGCAGCACTGTGATATGACAGACACTGGATCTTGGAGATCTGAAAAAAAGGGGGAAAAAGGTAGGTGAAACTAGATGTGTACACATAGACACACACACAAAAAAAACAACGTGTGACAACACGAGAGAAGACAGTGAGTGCCCTCCAGATCTGCACTGGCTGTATCTCTCAAGGGTTTGGAAGTGTCAGAAAAGCATGACAAATGAGGTGACAACAGCACAATCAGTTGTTAGGACATGGGCAAGTGCAATATTGGTGCTTATGCTCTTCAAGTTTCGTTTGTTGAAAGTTTTTAAGAACAGGTTAGCTAAGCACCTGTTAGAAATGATTTATGTGGAGCAACTCCTGTCTTGGGGCCATGGATGAGTGCCCCAATGTTTTTCCAGGGTCCTTCTGGCTCTGTATCAGTGGTTACTTCTCCAAAGAAACATCATATAGTGGTTTAAAGGAGGATAAATGGGCTGAAAGCAAATTGGACACCACGCCCCAGATTCTTCTTCTCTGTCTTTAACTATCTAAAATGGGGGAATACAGCCTCAACTAGTCCTGCAGGCTCCTTCAGCAGTGCTGGAGAGAGACCAGCATCTGGAAGGACTCATCATTGATGTTTCTTAAACAATTCTTTAGGAATTCAGATGTTTAGAACATAGTCATCTCACTAAAACCCCTAGACTCAGTGAGGAGGTGATGGTCACTCCAGATGGTGATTAAGACAGTTGAAGACAGTTGTTTATGATGGTCATTTAAGAGGAATAAATATCACCAATTAAGAGGTTATGGTTATCTGCTTGCTGTTGTGTTTCTTACTGGCGTTGATCATAACTTGCAATTATTGCAGTGTAGCAACTTTGTGAGGAAGAAAAAGTGATTTTTGATGTTAATTCTCTCCAGAATGATCCACTCCAGATGCAAGGCTGTTACACAGCATTTAGATAGCATCATACTGACAACTCAAAATGCCACATTGGAGACATGTTTGATGAGCTGTGCTTTTTGGCTCGGAGTGATCTCTGATCTGAGCAGGGTGTTCCCAGAAAAGATGAGAGACATAGGCTGAAAAATTAAAAAAAGGAAAAAAAAAACACAGGAAAATAAAATGATTGTGCAAACACATAATGAGTCAGATCCTCAACCTGTTCAAACATTGATATGGAGAGGGTGAGGCAAATTTACACCAACTGCCCTGCAACTCCTGTCAGAAGTCCAGGAGGCTGCAAGAAGGGAAGTCACTTCCCCTTGACTTGCCAACCAGACTACTCAGCATCTCCTAAATTGCATCTAATACCCAGAATCATTTTCATGTGCTCCTCATATGAGCCTGTTTCTGATTATAGCGAGGAGAATTGAATTGTTATGATGCCAGTGGGAGAAAAAGGGCAATGGATGGGAGTGATTCTACCAGAGGGAGCTGTGATAATGGCAGGGAAACATTGATTTGTGTGTTTAATGCATCTTCCTATTTAATGGAACTGGAGATAATAGAGAACAAGAGCGGGTTCAAATGATATCATTTTGAAAGGTAATGGGAACAATAATGTTATTATCAATAAAGTCTAAAATGGCATAGTGTTGTTAAGAGAATCTGAAACACAAGTTGCAATCTCTCATATCTCAATTCTCGGGGACAGTTTATTTGAATGCTTACAATTACGGGCTCCCATTGCTCA